GAGACAAGAGTAAAGAAGTTGGGTTACAAACAATAATTTTAAAAGGCTAAAAAATAGAAAAACAAAAGTTACACAAGGTTAGAAAGCCCATGCATTTATAATTTATTTTAAATATATATGTATGGAAGGAAGGAAGAAAAATAAAAAGAATCTAAAGGGAGGAGTAAAAACTTTAAATGGCTCCAGGGGAAATATTAGTGTACGGCTAACTAAGTCTATCATAATGTAAGGCCCTCTTAGTGGCTTGATGCAAAGGCCATCCAATATCTGATGGATTTTAGATGCTATTGTGCAGAATCTGGCAACATTATATGGATAGGATTGTGCCATTTATCCTGCATATTTATATAATAATAGTGAGTTGAGGTGAGTGCAAATGTCTTGATCTCACCCCATTCCTAAGAGGTCTGTAAGGGGGCGTGCATAAGCCCATTATGTCCTACTATTCACTTTTATTCGTACCCATTTCATGTAATCATAATCATGTTCTAATTTTATCTGTTATCTAATAAATGTTTGATTAAATAAATAAATAAATAATAACAGTATGTATGCTGTTGTTTCTATGTGTCCAGAGTCACAGGGGCATGGTCTCTCTGGGTGGAGACCTAGCCCATATTTAATGATTGGAAACTACTTCAGTTCTGTTGGCTCCACCACGGTTTTTTGGAAGCCTTGCAGACACGCTCTGGAGCGCGCGAGTGGTTTGCGGTAAAGTATTTTTAAGCCTTTTAAGAAAACAAGTTGAGAAAAACATTGACCAGGTGTGTCAGAATCATCCATCCCCAGCCTATAATTAGCTCAGATGTATTCCAGATTGATCTCAATTCATTTGACTAATGGAACTGAAAAATAGCTGAATTTGCAAGACTAGGCCTCTTTGTCCATCAGGTCGCTCCTTCTTCACCAATCAGGTGCTGACGTGTCAGTTGTTAGGAACTCATGTATCTGCTGATACTTGGGTCCTTAGAAATCCCACCGTAGTATGCTGTCTCTGTTATGAATGATCAGAGGTCCTCATTTCATGAAATATTGCTCCCGTTCCTATCGTTATCTTTAATTTTGGAGTTGGCATCATGGTTTTCTAAAAAGCCTCCTGTTCGTATCTTAGCACTTTTAAAATTACTTTTAAAGACAGTGCCATACAGGAAATATGTTTCAGAATCAACTCAAATGTAACAATCCACTCTAGAGAGCTTCTATTTTGTACATGGATCTCACATTCCATGTATGCTTCTTATGTAGTTTTACCTTCAGAAGAATCACAGGCATCAGTTTCCAAACATGACAGACACATAACTGCGTGGAATTTGCTGAATGCTATTTTCTATCATATTGGCAATATGATTTCAAATAAATGTAATTATACAGCATGCTAGATGAGAATTTTTCAATCAGTTTATCAATAGATAAACTTTTAAAGTTTTCTCTCACAAAACTCCAATTTCAAATTTTCTTAATTTTTTTTACCTAATTATATATGAACTATTTTCCTATCTAGAAAAGTTTCTAGTGAAACTCCCCCTTGATGAAACGTTATTTAACTGGCTGGTTTTCAGAAAAATTATGAGAATGAATGACAGATACTTACTTCTTTCTTTTCACGTAAAATAACAATCTGTTTTCAAGATACAAATTATACATATCTAAGCTAATAGAAAATTATTAGTTCAAAAGAACAGTGATAAATAAATATTGAGCAATAAATCAGTAAATCCTCTGCTGAAAAAGCAAAATTTGATCATTTCACATGGACCAAATATAATTTAAGAGCTGAGTAGTATTTTGAGAAACTAAAGTAATCTTATCAATAAAAACTGTTAAATTAATCTGGTATTTCCAAAGGCATAGTGTGGTTTCTCATTCATCAATTTGAGATCAACACCTCTAACCTTGACAATAAAGTTCTCAAAAAACAAACAAACAGAGAATAATAAGGTTTAACCGAAGATATTTCAGTTTAAAACAAACTTTCGTTATGACACGTAATGGTCATCCAAAAAAGAAGATTAGAAATGTCTGCTTTTAGATAAACCAAAGGTGATAGTTCACTTATTCAGAACTTCACTATTCACACATGAAACACAATAGCAAGATAACTTAAGGAGGCCAGTATAGTATCATATTCCTTTGCTCTGGGAATGTGAAAGGAAATATCCTGTTTCCAAGCTTCCATGATGGGTTTATGACTGTAGAATGAGTTTATTCTCCATCCACTACAAGGCTTGCCTTAAATTCAAAGGATGAAGGTTCTTCAAGGTTTTGGGATTAAAGAAAGGAAAAGGAATAACTCCTAACACCTTATATGGGTAGGGACTAGCCAAACTTTAGAAAAAAATAAAGTAGCTTTGAATAATACAGGGTGACCATACAGTGAAAGCTACCAGATTATTTCCGCTCAACCCCTCCTTGCTAGTTGCATGACAAAGTCTCATTCTTATGCTCTGATGTTACTGTCTCCTGAACAAAAGGTCAAATGGAGACAAATGATTCAGAAGAAGGTAGATAGACCAAATATAGTTCAAGATTTACTGAAGGGTCTCTGAATAATATGCAAGGATTTTTCTGACTCCATTTTCTACACCGCAAAAACAAAATGATTTCTCTACTTTCTGAAATTATAGGCCACTGAAACAGAGTAACAGGGGGTGGGGGGGCGGGGGGGAGAATCTCAGTCTACACTGAAAAATTTTAAAAGGCAAATATTCCATTGCTTGATGATATGTAATTTAATAGACATCTGTGAAAACCTCTAAGCTCGACTTCTTAGTAGTTTCAGAGTGTATTAAAGCACAAATATATAACTATAGTAGCCATTGGTTTATAACATTATTTGGATTTTCCATATACTGTATATACTACAAAGAATAGATTTGTAGAAACTTTTATGAAATCAAACTTTAAAAGATTAATTTAAAAACTTAAGACAATTGTAATGTTCAACCAACAAATGATACAATTTTTAAAATTCTACCAGCAGCAAGGCATGTATATATCCTCTTCATTTATATCCTCTTCACACACACACAGACACACATAATAACAACCTAATGAAAACAACAGCAAAGATTTTCCAAGTCTGAAAAATGGACATTCCTTGTTTAAATTATTTGAGATGCCTAAACGAAGGGAAAAGATTAAAGATGGGTTTGCTTTTGTTGTATATACCTCTAATAGAAATCACACACAGAGAGAAAAATATAGACTGCTCCTCCCAAGTACAAAATGGTCTATTTCAGGTAGAATCTGCCTGACCAAAAGATGCTGTCAGGGAGGTCAATAGATGCCAGTCCCTTCCTGTCAGCAAGGAAGACATGTCCAAACAGGAAGTACAAATCATGAGTGCTAACATTACCTTCACTGCAAGTTTACAGTGACAGGATCTTGCCAGTCTATAAGTACTGCACTGCCCTTGACTTCACTTTCCAGAGAACTGGGGGAGGGGGGGTCCTTTTGAGATGCTTTGTACACTTCTTTTGCATGATGGTTGTCTAGGATGGGGCTCTTCCGTCTGTGTCCCAGGGTCATTCCCACAGACCATTACAACTTCCCACTCAGTGAGAGATAGGACAGCACAGCATCTGCCAACAGGGAACACAATCTGCTTGAGAGCTGGCACCGCATCACCTTCCAGGTCATGCATGTTTGTATGCACACACATAGGAAAGAGGTAGGACTTCAATTGTGGCACCACGCCTGCCATTTTGCCCATTTTTACTCCTGTATGAATACCCCTGGATAGGAAGAAGGACCCTGGAAATGAGAAGTTTCTGTTAGGACACCCTTTGAGAAATTTGACCCTGAGTGGCATTTGTCTCTGTTCCCCAAAACATATGAAAAGTGATTAAATTTATTTTTTCATAGAACTTTCAGGAACAGATGAGTGGCGTGCTTAACTATGGTATAAGCATGTTTTTCCCCATCTTTTGAGAGAAGAGTTCTGTGGAGAAAAGGAATTTAATATATATTTAGGCATGTTTTGCCAGTTGCCATTATTGTCATTTTGTCATTTTTTGTGTATTTGTAGACTATTTCTCTTTATGGATTAGATTCTGTATACTGCTCAGAGTTGTTATACTGAACTGAGGTAGAAATCTCAGTAATAAAGGGTCCTTTTAAATTCAATTTATTAAATTAAATATTAATTCTGAACGGTTTATTAAATTTTAAATAATTATTAATTTTTTAAAAATTACATATGAATACATTGCATATTAAATTTAAATTTTAAATTATTTACTGATTAGAATTATAGACCCTCCCAAAACTTAATGCATGTTGGAAATCAAATTTAAAGAGTACTTTTAAATCATATAGCACTTTTAAGAAAATTATCAGAACATTCAGTATTTCGGATATAAACCATACTGGGAAAATAATTATTCCCTTAGTTATACAAATGCCTGCATAACAAGATAAATGCTAAAGGACACTTTAAAGGAATGCTAAAAGGTGGGAAGGCTAGTTCAACATTTCCAGTAGAAACCAACTAATTCATCCTCAGAAGTTTGTAAGAATGGATGGAAAATAATTAACTAGATAGAATACGACACTAACAAAATTGCTAAGACTTTTTTTTAATCATTAAGAATCTAACAATTAGGAGCAGCAACCTTTCTTTTTTTTGTTCTTGTAATCCGGAAATCTGCTTTAAATAAAGGACTTATTTGTGAATGTTTGGTCTTTTCTGCCTGGATGCAAAGGATTTTTTTTTTTAAACGGAATAAAACACATTGTTAGGATAACTTCCATTATCCCAATTCAGTAGGACCACACTGTTTTGGAAGAAATAGAACCTGTGTACATTCAAAGCTTGAAGAAATCCCCCATGGAAATCCCCCAGTACAGTTATAATCAGCTTTATGCTCTGTTGCCTTAAGCTCATCACTAAGCTATATTGCCTGAAAGTCAGGAAAGAAGCTGGTTTTGTAAGCAAATGCTTGCAAATGAGTTTGAGACCCATAAAACACTGTGCCTGGTACGTGTTCTCTACGGTGAAGATCTGAAAACCGGCTTCGCTCCAGAGACCCACCCTGAGCAGAGAAGGATGAGTGCTAAGATCTTGCTGTGCCTCTCATTGGCTCTCTCCATCCAGGGTGAGTACATGTGCCAACTAAAAGAGTGAGAAAAGAGAAAATTAGGGCATAGATAGATAGATAGATAGATAGATAGATAGATAGATAGATAGATATTTCCATTTTTTTTTCAGGTACATGGAATAAGCAGGAATCTCAATGACAAGTAGATAGAAACAATTATTGTCATATTGGTCCCCTGAGCAAATAATGCTCAAAGTGGCCTCTGATGGTCTGTGGGACAATACCACAAGATCAAGAGACCTCCACTTTGAAACGTCTGCAAAGTTCCTGCGGTGATGTGTATTGGAGATAAGGCTAAGAATCCCAAGCTCTCTCCCCTTTGTTACATAGCCAAATGCCAGTTTTGAGGTGTGCTGTAAATTGTTTTCCTTCTTGCTGTGATTTTTTTAAAAAAAATAAACTAAACTAGAACAGAAAATACTGTATTACCCCGCTTCCATCTTTCCAATCATTAAAACCTCTTTCAAGTTGTGCTTGACTTCTTGGAGACTAGCTTACAGCTCTGAATTTTCCCCTTGTCTCTCATCTAACTGCTAATTAGTTCCTTTCATTAGAGTATTTTTGTTCAACCAAGATTACCTAGATTTTGCCACCAAGCATGGTTCTGGCCATTCTTTAACCAATACTGAACTAGCAGCGTGGAAAGTTTCCTAGCAAGTATATTTTTTAGTTCTGTTATCAGGCCGTACATTGAATACACAAATACTTTGTATTTGTGGGACTGTGGGATATTGAAGTTATGATCTGTTTAAATGTATTAATGGGATTGTATTAAAGCTGACAAATATATAATGTTACCATTTATGATACACTCACAGCATGATTTTTTTGTTATCTTCTGTGGGACATGCATACATAAGTCTGCTTGGGACAAATTCTCACCAAAACCTCTGTCTAACTAGGCACATTTAAGTTTAGTATATAAGTCAACCAATTGTCCTGTGCTTCTGTGAATGGCTGAGAGAATGGCTGCCATTGCTGAAAAGCAAGATGCTACATAATGTTCTAAACAACATTTCCCTGCAGGTTTACAATGGAAGGTTGTTAGCAATATTATTGCAATGTATTTCCCTTTCTTTTGGTCACCTTAACATAGCTTGCAAAGTAGCAAAAGAGATTGTTCCCCCCCCCCCCCCCCCAAAAGGCACAGCCTCATATTACTATTAATTAAAAGGCCATGTAATACTATTTAAAACAGAATATCTATGGAATCACACTTGTGAATCTTGAAAGTCCCCTTCAAAAACATGAGCTTTGTTCACTTTGGCAGACCAATAGGCTTCTGAAAAAAAAAAATCAAGAGCTTTTGAGCCATGATAGAAAAGCTGCAGAAACAGAATATACTTAACATAACACTTAGCAATAGCAATAGCACGTAGATTATCTACCCCTTCATAGTGCTTTTACAGCCTTCTCTGAGTGTTTTACAAAGTCAGTATATTGTCCCCAACAATCTGGGTTCTCATTTTACCAACCTTGGAAGGATGGAAGGCTGAATCAATCTCGAACCCCATCAGGATTGAACTGCTGGTAGTGGGAATAAGAGTTAGCCGGCAATGCTGCAGATTCTAACCATTGCATCACCATGGACCTGTATGGCTATGAATTCCCTGTTTTAAGGAGAGGATGTCAGTGGTATTGCAGAGTATACTGAACCCTGAGCTAATCCATGGGTCAAGATAGGGATAACTAAGTAGCCCAAGTTAAAACCAAGTTTAGGATATTCTGCAAATTAGAGCTGCTCTGTCTTGAATTAATTTAATTAAGTGTGTTGCACAACCAAATAAAAATGCTTTGTTTAATGGGCCCAACCAATTTTCCTTCTCTGGAAAGGGAAGTTCTCCATACAGATCTCAGGCAGGCAGGGATGAGCAGATTCTTTCAAAAGAAAAACGAATCAAGGTGTTTCCAACTTTCAGCTGTAGGGTAGATCTCTGCTCCTCTTCTTCCTTCTTCAGGGGGAGCCTTGCAACCCGTGCCTATCCAGCCACCTCAGGCCTCATATGCTGAGGGCTCTACTGCTGTCCTGCAGTGCCCTCTGCAAAGCGGCAAGATCCAGGACTACCATGTCTTCTGGTTCCAGCAAAAGCCAAGCAAAAGCCCAGCCTTCATCCTGAAGCATGGCAACGATGGGAACATAGACCGATCCTCTTCATTTGACGCACGTTTTGTGCCCATCCGGGATGCCGACACCAATGCCTACGTCTTGCAGATCCAGAAGGTGCAAACAGAGGACAGTGCCACCTACTTCTGTCTAGCAGAGGGAAATTATTTCCAGATAGCAGTCTCAGGGAGTGGAACACGGCTCAGCATCACAGGAGGTGAGCAGGAATAATACATAACAGATGTAAAGTAAAGGCATTTTCTTTCTCTGTGTCTTTACAAAGGAGGGAGGGAGGGAGGGGACAAATGCTGCTAGAATACCAGAACAGGGAAAAAAGTAGTGAGATGCTCCCTTGAGCTGAACCCCCTGAAGCAAAAGAACTGAATGTTTTGTTTCTGCCGAAGATGAGGACAGTCTATAGCCATGATGGCGAACCTATGGCACGCGTGCCACATGTGGCACGCAGAGCCATTTGTGCCGGCACGCGAGCCGCAGGCAAACTTCCTTCACAGCGCATGCATGCGCCTCATGGCTGATTTTCGGCTGGCCTTTTTCGGCCTCCCGGAGGTTTGAGGAAAGCATCTGCAGGACCTTCAGGCCAAACAATAGACACATTTCATCACTTGCTGTATTTCCGGAAATACTGGAAGTGACAAAACGGGCCTATTATTCGGTCTGAAAAGCCTTCAGAGGCTTTCTTCAAGCCTTTGGGAGGCCGAAAAAGGCCTCAAACCGGCTGAAAATCAGTTGTGAGGCATAGTGCAGATAAGAGGGGTGGCAGGGGGGAGTGTGTGCATATGTGCAGGGAGCATGGGGGGCGTGCATTGCCTTCTGGGTGCTGGCATGCGAGTGTGAGCATACGAACACAGGAGCCCCAAAAAGGTTAGCCACCACTAGTCTATAGCATTTAAATGTTATGAAAATCTGGGTTGCCCTGAGGTTTTAGTGCAGGAGTCCCCAACACCCAGTCCATGGACTGGCAACCAGTCCATGGCATGCCAGAAATCAGTCGTTGCAAATAAGCGAAGCCCCATCCAGGGGATGCAAGCAGCACATGAAATCACAACCCCTCCGGTTCACGGAAAAACCTCTCTCCATAGAACCAATCCCTGATGCCCAAAAGGTTGGGTTTCACTGCTTTAATAACTAACAAATGGGGTTTGGTCTTATTGTGAGAACAGCAGCCATTGGCTAGGCCTCCCCTGAGAACTCTACATGCAGCTGAACCAAATAACTGAAGGCTGCCAGCTTATGGAATGCTCTATTTACAAGGGGCCACTAGATGGCAGCAAAGTTAATGTTGATATTGCTTGTTATCCTTTAGTGGGGATCCGGCTTAGACTGAATTTGCACAATGGTTCTGTTTCCACAACGCATATATCCCCCAATCCAGAGGTGGTATTCAGCAGTTTCTGACCAGTTCTGGAGAACTGGTAGTGTAAATTTTGAGTAGTTTGGAGAACCGGCAAATACCACCTCTGACTGGAGATTTTACAGTATCCTTCCCCTGCCATGCCCATCAAGTCACACCGACAGAACCAGTAGTAAAAAAAAATGAATCCCACCACTGCCCCAGTCAGCTATTAACTGAGTCAAATCTCCTTACCAGTGATTCTGACAGCACTCAATTCTGTCCTATTAATTGAGTGGAGAAACATGGAGGACAGAGTAGAGCAGGGGTGTCAAATTCATGGTGTCATGGCAGCATCACATGACATATATAGGGACTTTTTTTCCCCTTTGCTAAATTGGGTGTGGGTGTGGGCAGCGCATGATGCATCTGGCCTATGGGCAGGGAATTTGACAGCCCTGGAGCAGAGCAATTAGACCTGAATGGCAAAAATCTTTACTACTATCCAGTAGTGGTATTCAATTGTTTTTACTACCGGTTCTGTGGGTGTGGCTTGGTGGGCATGGCAGGGGAAGGATACTGCAAAATCCCCATTCCCTCCCCACTCCAGGGAAAGGATACTGTAAACTCCCCATTCCCTCCCCACCCCACTAACCTGCTTTCCAGCTCCATTCTCCTGTGCAGGGCAACAAAAGGAGACCCAGCTGATCAGCTGGGACTCGGGAGGCAGATAATAAATGGGGGCAGGGCCAGTCAGAGGTGCTATTTGTCGATTCTCTGAACTACTCAAAATTTTCTCTTCCAGTTCTTCAGAACTGGTCAGAACCTGCTGAGTATCACCTCTGCTACTATCTAATAGTAATGTGGATTTCTGCAGCTAGATCTGGAAAAAAATGTCCATACAGCTTCTCCAGGAACTGATATCCCGCAAGGCCTTGCACTAGAAGGGAACTGGCAAGATTACACGTTATCACTAATCCAGTTCCAATTAGCCCAGAAGAGAGCAATACAGGTAGTCCTCGACTTACGACCACAATTGAGCCCAAAATTTCTGTTGCTGAGTGAAACATTTGTTAAGTGAGTTTGCCCCCATTTTATGACCTTTTTTGCCACCGTTATTAAGTGAATCACTGTAGTTGTTAAATTAGTCAAACTGTTGTGAAGTGACTCTGGCTCCCCCATTGTCAGAAGGTCCCAGAAGGGGTTTACGTGACCCCAGGACACTAAAACTGTCATAAATATGAATCAGTTGCCAAGCACCTGAATTTTGATCACGTGGGGATGCTGGAACAGTCATTAAGTGTGAAAAATGGTCATAAGTCACTTTTTCAGTGCCCTTGTAACTTTGAAGGGTCACTAAATGAACAGTTGTAAGTTGAGGGCTACCTGTAGGTATAGCTTGACCATTTCAACTGTCTTGTGTCTGAAATGCCTAGTCTGTGTCACTAAGCTTCAGAAGTGAGTTCTGTAATAGAAAGGCTTAGATTTTTTTTTAATGGAGGACCAGAATTGCAAAGAGGCCAATTGATATGTTTTGATGGTTCCCACTTACAACTGACTGGTGTAAGGCATCCAGAAAGTATCCATGATATCAATCACTCCGAGACATATTCTCTCCAATTGATTTATTTAGGAACAGATCTGGTACATCTAAGGCAATTTCCCAAAGTGAAAGTATTTTCGTGCCTTACATAGAATCCACCTTCTCTCTTCCCACTTCTACACTTCATAAATCACGAGAACCAATTAACTGCAACTGGAATTTCTTAGTATGACATACAGAATAACCTTGAACTTTTCAACTCCTCCACCCCCCTTCCATTATATGTGGCAGCTGAATTTCAAAGCTGACAACTGGATCTGTTTGGATAATTTTTTTTTATAATTCTCACAACACATTAACCTCTCCTTGATTCAGAAGCAAGTTGTGAAAAGATGGCTAATAGATAGTAAAAATCATCCATAGAAGACATGAAAAGGCTCAGACTCATCGGGCAGCAACTGAAGATCTGTTGCTTTCTAAATGCCAGACTTCAACTGCAGAAGTCGCACCTTTACACCAGTGGTGGGATTCAAATATTGTTGCCACCGGTTCGGTGGGTGTGGCTTGGTGGGCGCACTTTGCGTGCGTGCACACACTTTGCATGCACACAGGCACCAAATGCGCACTTTGCACAGGCGCAGAGGCATTCTAACTCGCCTCCTGCAAGCCTGCACGATCCCAGTCGCTTCAGCAGCTGCCACGCAGCACTATTCTGTGCCACACAAAGCAGCTGCGCTTCAAATTTAGCAGATAAAAGTGAGTATGGGAACCTGGGCGGGCGGATGGGCCCAACAGCAGAGTGGCGGGGAGAACCAATTTGGTCTCTGCTGGTCATCGCTCCTACTGGCTCACCAGAACCAGGCCGAACTGGTCGAATTCCACCACTGCCTTTACAGATCTCAGTGTTGAGTGAGTGCTGCTGCAGCTAATCAGCCAATCCAGCAGGCTTTTAGACCAGATGACCTACAAGGTCCCTTCCAAGGTCTGTTAATCTGTACCTGTATCCGATCTCAAAAGGCAAGGGTTGACTCCAAATTGTAGAAGTATGGTTCCGAAACAACAATATTATGGCTGTTTGGGAGAATGGCAAGACTCAATTATCCTTGTTCTCCCCAGGACAATCAGTACAAGTACCATCATCCGTCATCATATTGTCTGACGTTTCCCAGAAGCCAGAATCTTCTGATGTCCACGCCATATGTGTAGTTGAAGACTTCTACCCAGGCTTACTAGAGATCAAGTGGAGTGCTGCTGGGAAAGATATAACTGAGGGAGTGACCTCTGGATCAGTGATCTTGAATGGGGATGGCACTTACACCACCTCCAGCATCCTGAACGTATCGCGCAATTTCTTTAACTCTGTCACCCCTATTCAGTGCTCTGTGAGTCATGAATCTTCTGGGGCCAAGATTGAACGGAGCCTGGAATGGTGCATGTAGAAGTAAATGGTTTCACCTCAACGCCTCCCTTCTTCCCATGCTGCTACTTCTCATTCCCCTTTAGCTCTCGGCAAAGTGTGCCCTGCTCCGTGCTTTGGCTCCCCCCACCCACCCAGTAAACATATATTCACCACTTAATGCTGTCTGATTATTTATTTATTTATTTATTTGGGAAGAGCACGGAAGGAAGTTGGGCAGTCTCTTGTAATTTGAATGGTGCTTGGTCAGTAGCTGCCTCCCCTTGAGTTCCACTGCTGCTGCTGCCTTGAATTCATGCATCTCCCCTATTGAAAGACTGACCTCTGATGAAGCCATTGTGCTTACATGGGGCTCGCCTTTAAACATGTTATGAGTTGGCACAAGCCCTTCCATCATAAATGAAATCAGTGGAGCTGAACTTACATTACTTGCTAAGTTCCATCCCCATTAGCCAAGGTTACTACTAACTGAACATCCAACCTTAAAAGTTATGTACGTGCATCTCTATGTTAAATGGAAGTTGTCAAATCTGATGATTTGAGTAAAGCTTTCAAAATGCCCATTTTTCATTGCCCCCTCCTTATCCTCCCCTTTATGGAAATGAAGGAAGAACTTAATAAGCCTGTTGTACGAAGGCATCCATGTGGCGTTGTCTGTATATTCAGCAGCATTGTCTATCATGTGGTTAAGTGTGATGAGACTACAGCCTTTCCATAACTTTTTTTGTTTATCCATGTTTCCCCCTTGTCGCCCCCTTTCCAAATTTTGCTCTCAGCTCACTCACAGTGACCATTTTTTTTGCCTGCCATGTTGCTCTACTGTCAACACATAAAATATTTCTCTGGTCTTTTAGAGTGGCCAACAGAAAGGGAGGGGGCAGTAGTGTAGCAGCTGCAAAACTGAAACTGCATTCCATGAATATTTCATAGATAGTTTCCAGGTGAAGTTTCTGCCGTGCAAAATTCTAACTGGAGAGTGTGATTGATGACTCTCGGCTATGGATGTGTCCCATTGGAGAATATGAATTATGATACACCCGGGGGTGGGGGAAAAACCAAGGTCAAGGGTGACAATGAATGATGTGCCTCAGAGTCAGCTACATCCAGGCAGCACTGGCACGTCTTCTCCTAATAAATCTTTGAGCTTTGAAAATCAGGCTAGGGGCTCATGATTTACATGGGGGGTCACTACCGGAGCCCTGGCATCTACCTTATGAGTAATATATATATGTATGTACATATATATATATATATATATATATATATGTGTGTGTGTGTGTGTGTGTGTGTGTGTGTGTGTGTGTGTGTGTGT